GTTTCATTTTCTCCCTGCTACAAATTTGTGTCATATTTAGTTAACTGAAATGAAAGTGCAGGAAACTGACCTGAGATCTTGACCAAGACAGGTCCAAGACATCATCCTGGTGACCTTTAAGAGTGCATACTGGTTTCTCTGAAAGAGCAAAAACAGTTTCTGGTACATTGACGTACTCCGGAATCGAGTTTCCCTTTTTCTTATGGGAGACCTTCCCCTTCTTCCTTCTTTCTGATGCCATATGTCCCATCTCCGGCAGAGGAGGCCGGTCTGAATTGGTCCTTGCAATGGGATGAACAGGGGAGGTACTGAGAGAGCCAGCCATTGGATGAGTAGGTGAGATACTTGCAGCACCAACAACAGAGTGTAAGTCATTCATAACTTCACATTCTTGCACTTCCCATATATGAATTAATGTATCTTCTCCTGCAGTTGCTAGGTAGCGTGCGTCCGAGCTGAACCTTATGGTCCATATTGAGCCCTCATGAGCATGGATTTCCTGACACAAGTGCATAGCTGTGAGTTCCTTGTAGGACTTTCCATGCTGGCGGACTTTAATCCATTTGGAGGAGTCCTTGTTTGGTTTCTGCTGTTCCTCAAGTGCAGTTTGCTCACGTTCTTTATCAATAATTTTTCCGCTCATGCTATGTGCTACTCCTTTTATGTTCTTCAAAAGAGCAACTCCTCTTCTCTTGCTATTTCTGAAGCTCTTACTCAAATATGAATTTGCGTTTAATTTCCTCTCATCATCATGATTTCTTGAACCATTTACCCGGCGCATCAGTTCCTTTACAACAGGAGAATATCCCACATATTTCTCAAATTCATCCATGGTAAGCTGCTTTCCTGTCTGAAGATCACTGAGCTTATTCCACATTCCATGTTCGTTGGACTCTTTGACAATGAACTCCTTTCCAGTGTCCAAATTCTTTATCAAGAAGAATGAAGCAAAGCCCACGTCAGGATTCCTATTCGAGAATGTGGATGTCGTATCACTGCCATTTTGCATTGACATTCCACTTGTGTTTTTTTTGCGTGACATTCTAACAGAACCAGCTAATTGGCATATTCCTAAGCTCGGTGCCAAAACACCTGAAAATGTCCTAGTGAGACGCTGTTTAGAGATGTCACCAATTAGCTCCTCTTTCCTTTTCTTGGTATTTACGGAAAAATATTGTATGTCTCCGTCTGATCTCGACCTGACCAGCACAATTGGCTGTGAAGCTGATGGCTGTTGTTCTTGATTTAATTCTTTTGCAGGAGAATATTCAGCCTTTGGTGGTTTGGAATCTTGGCTGGTCTCAACTTTTCTTGAAATGGCTCGTACAATCTTGGCGCTTTTGAGCTTGAGTAGGTCCTTATTGCTTGATAACCCCATGCCTTGCAGGAGACGCCTTCGACGTTCCTTGATATCACCAGGTTCAGCCATCCACATGCCATAGTCCTCCATGCTGGTGAAAGAATCAGAAACTGCCTCAATCTCAATCCCTTGGAATTTCTTGATGGAGGCCGAGGAAAGGGTCGAGACAAAGGAGAGGCGACTGTCCTCAAATTCATCATCGTCGTCTGATCCTGAGGATGCCAAGTCAAAGGGAATGGCTGTTGAAAGCCGGTCACGGGACTCAAAGAAGTTGTCATCATCATCATCTTCTCCAAGACCATCCCAGTTCATCGTTAGGGTCCTCCGGTCCATTATAGCACATTGCCAAGAAGAAAATCAATGGAATATCAAATGAATTACTGCATGATTAGAGAAACTTGGGTTGTCTTTTTTCTTCATTTTTTCTTTTCCCTAATGTTCTGTTCTTGTTTGTTCCCTAGGGGAATGGCAGAGGAAGGAGAGACAGAGACAGAGAAGTGGAAGAGAGAAAAATAAGGTAAGAAAAACTTTTGTGATTGTCTTTTTGGAAATTGGCTGGATTGTAAAGAGGGAAAAGAAACGGTTAATGAAATGTTAATACTTATTATTACATCTCCTCACGTCTATGCCCCTCACTTTGGCATGAAGGTTCCAATGTCTTTGCATTTGTGGACTTTTTGGGTGTCCCCTGTATTTTTATTAATTTAAATTTCTCATATTTCTTGCCAATCATCAATCATTTATTGGATTAATAACTTTTGTTTTGTGTGATGTGCCTAGGATATGGAGAATTTGGAAGGATCGTGCATTACAAAAATGTTTTTAACGCTTTTGAAATAGCTTTATTTTTAGTACAATAATTCTGGCTACAAAAATATGTTGGTAGTTATGTAGGCAATAATTGTATTAGCTTAATATAGCTGTCATAGTTTGTGCCACGAAGTTTAACCTCCTTTTTTTTTTTTTTCTTTTTTGAAATAATTGAACGGAAAGGTCTAGAAATGAAAATGAATTATCTACATGTTTAATAAAGTTTATTAGTATGATTTTCCTAAATTTCCGAAAAGGAATAGGAATAACTTCCACTTGATAGGAGAAAATTTCATTATCAGAACTTAACATTAAAAAAATATTAGATCTAAACTAGGGGAGATATTAGTAAAAGCGAAATTTTAACATCTCTTTGCCCTCAATTGCCTTTCTTTCTATTCGATGCAGTAAATCACAAGTAAATACAAAGTCAATAAAAGTGTTTTCACATAATGAAAACAAAAAGGTAACATGATTATTGGATTTGAAAGTAATAAAATTATTTTACGTACAACTCAAAGAAAGGTGTTAGAGAGCATCATAAGTAAAGATATATGGAGTTGTAATTATGATAAAACTGTAACAATGATTTCCTCTAAAAAAAAAGTATTTTTATTATCTTTTGACTTGAGATTGTTGTCAATCAACTTGAAAAAAATAATTAAGCTCCGTATTGGCGTCATTGAATAGAAACTACACCACCTCTTGAAATTTATTTCTTATTACGACACAAGCCCAAACAAAACAAATCTATTAAAAATGACCACTATAATTAGTTTCTTTAATTTAGTTTAATTTTCCTTATATTGCTAAAGCATAAACCGTGTTAGTCTATGTATGACGTTTCTGAAATGTTGTTAGAATACTTACACAATAGAGGAGGATTTAGTCATGTGGCGGTAGTTTTGCAGAGTTTTATGTTGCATCTTATTTTTTTGTTTTCTAATTATCGTTATCCAAACACATTTATTTTCAAAAAACTGTTGTGAGAAGCTAGTCATCAACTTTTTCCTCAGAATCATTTTTTTAATTTGTTTTTTTCATTGGGAAGAAGATAATATTTCTCACAATTTCAGTAGATACAATCACCACAAGTCGCCTTGAGTTGATTTTCCTTTTTTGTGGGTAGACTTTCAAAGGGACAACTTCTTTATTTGGATAACTATATAATTAAAAAAAAAAAAATCAAGGATGTTTTCTTGGAGTTTTCGTGACATTTGAACTATAATATTCAAACTTTATCCTAAAGTACAATTGTTGTAGGCTTTTGCTCATTTTTTCAATTTCGAGCAGTGAATTTTCTGTTTTCTGAATGTAAAATTTGCCTTTGTAGCCTTAATGTTTCTCTGAGTTCATAAACATAATTTCATTGCAGTTTTCATTCTTTTCAAATTTATGGTACTATTGAGAACTTTATACAAGTATTGTCCAGCAATCTTTTTTCAGTGTTTTCTTTGCTCTTTGGTGAAGAAGTATGTCGAGAAGAGAAGAGGAGGAAGAAGAGTGGGTTTTAGTTGTGTTTGCCTTGAAAATGGTATTAACTATTATATTTGATTTTGTGGCTCTAAAAATATGTGATTTATTTCAATACTAATTGTTAGGCAATAAATGTTAAGTGTAAGTAGAGAGAATAAAATATGCAAACCAATACTGTCGCAAGACTGGGCCTCGAGCTGGCTGGAACAGGGGGCCTTGAAGTCTAGTTAGGGCAGTTAGCAATGAACAACTGATGAAGAAATAATGATATCGAAGGCCTCGAAGATAGCCTTTTGCGGTTAATAATGGGAAATAAATGAAGAACAATAAGTGAACAATAAATGAACAAGCAATAGATATGTAGAATGATTGTTGAGCACGTTTAGGCAAGAAAAGCAGAGAATGTTCTATTGTATTGAATATTCATATGTTACAAAATGACAAGGGTCCCCGTTATATAGGAGGGGGGAATACCAACATAGTACATGTCTAATAATGACGAGGAAATGCTATTGGTACAGCTGTATAATTGCCTAGTACGGATTTGTACTATTTCTCGCAAACTCTGTCAGTATAATCACGTGCCCTCGGGAATTTTCCGCCTTTCCATGACGGTCGTCGATTTTCATGCTGCTTCGAGGTACACTGTGATGAGTCTTCGATATACACTCTCGAGGCGAGTGCTTCGGGGACGAGCCTTAGACTTTGCTTCGAGCCCATCGAGGCCAGGCTTGAAATGCCATAAAAGCCTTAAAATCGGCCTTTCCTGATTTTGACCGTATACATATAGTCCCCGCATTTCTTGGAATGAAATAACGAGGAACGATTTGAATTCTTCAACTCTTCAATGCCTCTATCATTACGTCAGTTGTGTCATGTAAGCGATTGATGTGACAAAAAGGGATATTCAAAAGTCACATTCGCACGGCTCTTGAAAAGCCTCAAATTGATTACGATGGTTGGCCGTCCTTTGGCTTTCCCTAACGCGCACTACTGGCCCCTATAAATACTCCAATCTTTCACTCCTTACTCTTCATCATATCTCCAAACTTTCAACAACTCTTCTTACTTCTTTCTCGTGTTCGTCTCTCATCCAGTTTTTCTCTTTTCCTCTAAAATCTTTCAGCAACAATGGCGAAGACCTCTAGAACCATTCCCCAAGATGATAAAGTTTCTTCATCTTCATGCTTGTCTAAGGGCAAGGCCATAGTACCTCCTCGTTTTGAGGAGTTCATCCTCGGACCCTGTGAAACATCCTCCGATTTCAAGGTTGACAAGCCTTCTTCGAAATTGGGGTAGTACAAACCCATGTCCCGATATATTAGCCTGATAATCGACATTGGGAAGGTGAAAGCTGATTGCCGCTGGGGAGAGGTGATGCAAGTTGAGATTCCTTCTCGGGAGGCAGATATAACGACACATAAAGTCGGTTTCTTAGTGTATACACATATCCTTTTACCCTAGGTCCGGTAGAACCATCCTCGCCGTCGATAGACCCCGTGATTCTCGATTTCTACAGACAATATTGGGTGACACTCGGCCAAATCCATCCATCATTCTAGCGCATTGTTTACATGATTAGGCACTTTGCAAACATGGTCGAGGAGATGCCTTTTACCTTTGACCATCTGATTAGGATGTACAGCCCCCGACTTTATCGAGGCAGTCTAATTAAGCGTCAACGTCGGGCCTCGAAGGTTCTCTTTGCTTGCACCGACGAAGACAAGTACAGAGGGTGGATGTGCCACTTTGTCCGAGTTAGGACCTCAGATCTAATTCCTGTTGAAAGGATGCCATTCCCCGAGGAATGAAATATCAATCGTATGCGAATATGTTAATTAAATATTTTCTCTTTCCTTTGGACCATCTTCCCCTTGAACTAACTCCCTTCGATGATGCAGCTGTTATGTGGTAACCTGGCGCGGTTAAGGATCTCTCGGGCTGGGTTCGTCAGCTCTATTCGACTTGCCCATATGTTAAGCGCGTGTGGTACGATCTGGCCTAGGCCCGATGGGGAGCTAAAAATCATGGTGAGGTTTTTCTCCTATTGTACTTGAGCTCTTTAAATGAGATAATCCTTGACTATATTCTCATTTTCTGTACCTACATTTTGTGTTTGTGCAGGCATGGGAGAGACCTCTTTGATGAGGGAAACCCCCTCCGGGGAGGCAGATAACCCAAAACCTACCAAGGAGAAGAAGCGAAAGAGAAAATTACCGACTAAGTCCCCGAAACTGAAGAAGGCTAAAGCTCAAAAGCCTAAGGTTGATTCAGCGGCCTTAACGTCGGAAGTAGCAGAGAGCCCTCGAGTTGGGGGCGAAGAGAAAGATGACTCCCTGCTAGCACCCGGGGGAAGAGGAAGCGTGACTGCTTCAGACCTTGCTGAGCCGATGGCTGTTGAGCCGAAGGCTTCTAAACCAGAAGTTGCTGATGTTGTCCCACCTTGGGCCGAAGAGGATCTCGAGGGTGGGTCAGATGATGTCCGTAAGCCAGTCGACAGCCAAAACATTTCCCGAGCCGACATGCATTCGGTAGATGAGTTAGGGGAACCCAGTTCTGAGGCACCCCGGAGGCAAGAGAAGGCCCCGATCGATCCAGCCAGAGTAATTGATGTGAGTGATTCTCCGCCGGGTCCGACATTCTCTCCGAGGGAGATACGGGATGCCCATAATAGAGAGACTTCCGATGCGGTGGCGTCCCTCAGGGAGAATGACGTGTTTGAAGGATTCTTCACTAGGGACGAAGAAAACCCCGAGCTTAACGCCTCGCTCATTTTCGAGGAAGCCGAGAAGCTCTGCAAATAGGTAATCTTTCGTCGACTATGCTCTAAGCTCCGATCCTCATCTTCATGATTTTGTTCTTTTACGCTTTCAGGCTATAGTGTTTTACAATCAGGCCTTTGTTAAGTCCTAAGCTGAGTTGACCCACTATGAGGAAGAGTGTAGGAGGCTCTCATCAGAGGCTAACGAGCTTAGAGCTCTTTTTACCAAAAATAAGGAAGAACTTCATGACCTTCAGGCTCGTTTGGAGACGGTGTCTCGAGAGCGGACTGATCTTGCTGAGCAGGTAATACAGTCTTCGTATGTTTTTATTTTCGTGCTTCTCCGACTTTAGCATTTATCACCTTTGGGTTGATTTTTGCAGCTTGAGAAGAAAGATGTCCTGATGAGGGAGGGACTCCGAGCCAGGGATATTGAGATTCTCAGACTCAAGCAGCGTGTGGACGAGATAGCCTCCGAGAGAGATACCCTCCAGGGGAAGTTGACCTCGGTTGAGCATCACCTTCAGGATGCAAGGGCAGATAGTAGTAAGTATAAGGATCTCCATGATGAATCGGTCACCGTACTATCTGTAGCCAAGTCCGAAGATGATGCACTCATATCCTCGTACCGAGAAGATGCTACTGCTGCAAATGCTCTAGCCAAGAAGGTATCTAAAGAGGCCAAGCTTGAACTGAACCGAGCCCTGGAGCATGCCCGATTAAGATCTCGGAGGCAGGCTCTCGAGGATGTATATGCAGGGGGCATCAATTTGTCTGTTGAGATCGAGATGGTGAAGGCCACAAAGGAAGAATCGACAACTCTGCTTTCTTCCGATGATGTTTCAGCCAATGGTTCGACCAGCGGCTCGGAGGATGATGAAGATGAAGGTG